TGGGTCCACAATCAGCATCATCTGTACCAGAAGTCAAAAAATCAAAAGATGTATTCCTCTAGCAAAATCTGTTGTCAGGGACCTCTCCGAAGTGCCAATTTAAGACTAATGTATGCCAGATTAAAACCATGGTCTTTATAATCACTTGCTATACATTGGAGAATTGGACAACAAATAGTGATGATTCATATAAAAAAACTGATGACTGTCTCCGACACACCCACCCCCACTACTCCAGTATTGGGGAAGAGTGCTGAGTACCCCAATGATTACAAAAAGAACAATCACATATGTCTTGGAGTAAGTGCTTACCAGAATGCTCTTAGAGGCAAGAATGGTGACGTTTTAGGTCATATACTTTGAGCATGTTGTTAACAGACATGGCAAAAGACACCATGCTTGAAATGGTGGAGGGTCAGTGAAAGAGAAGAAGACCCTGAATATGACAAATTGGCACAGTGGTTGCAGCTATGGGATTAAGTATGTCAGAAACCATAAGGATGGCATGGGATAGGACAGGGTTCAGGTCTGCTGTTCATTGAGTCACTCTGAGTCATACATGATTAGATGGCACTTAACAACAACAAGACATAAAACCTCTGACCAAATGGGAAGTGGAAAGGTTGTCCTAAAGAGCTATCTTAATGCCATCCAGATCCATGGATAAAGTGAGTGACTGATGAGTAGCCATTCTGCGATTATTGGAAAAGTGACTGACAGTAGAAGACCCGGTGTTTGTCCAGTTACATGAGTGAAATTTGAAACAGAGACCAAAGTGGCTGTACTATTGCAGGGGATAAACCGCGCACTGCAGTTTTAAATGATAAAAAAAGACGTTTACTTCAGGAATTGGAACCACCAGCAAGACAACTCTTGCTAAGATCCCAAAAGAGTTATATACTCAAGAAAAATACAAGCATGCTAAATTATTATATAATTTTGCTTTGTCTTCCAGAGCCACTCTTTGAAATCTTCTGTTTATCTCTTTTGCTTCAGTATTTCACCCCTTATTTTGGTTTCTCATTGCACTAATGCAAATTTCAGAGTCTCTTCTGACATTAATTTTGGCGTGGGTTTTTTTCCCCCTTCTTCTGTCTTTTAATGATCTTTTGCTCTCTTGATGGTTGCTATCTTAGATGTCATCCCATAACTCATTTGGTCTTCTAATATTAGTGTTCAACGCCTCGGATATATTCTGAAGATGATTTCTAAATTCAGATGGGACACACCGAAGGTTTTATTTTATTTTTGACCTTGTTTTCATTTTCTTTGGCTTCAGTTTGAACTTGCACATGAGCAGTTGATGGTCTATTCCACCATCAGCACCTTTCCACCTCTAGTCTCATTCTGCTCCTCTCCATGCTTAAATATTTTAAAGTTAACTCTCCAAGTACTGACTGTATTTACTAATTTCTTGCCATAAATATGAACATATTTATGCACCTCTTTTCTTTAAATTTAAATAACTGCTATTTTATTCTTGTCACAAGTTTTTTTGGGATATACAGCAAGAGTTGTCATATTACAAATTTTTTTTAAAAACCCATAATTATATATTTTGTGCCTTCTTTCTTTACTAGAAAACCATACAGCTTTAGTATCTTATGCATATATCAGCTTCAAGTTAATCAAAACCCAGCCAAAAAAAGGAACATTTTAGAAATTACTTGAGCACTTACTTGCCTTATAGTCAGCAGTGACAGATTACAGAGTGTACCAGCCTATACGTACTGATCACCATTTGCTTTCCTTCCATGTTTTGTTTTCTTCCTGTGTTCGAAGCTTTCACTGATGATCTTTCAATGAGTTGTCTGTGAAGTTCCATCATGTAGTACAGACCAGATGTCTCTCACTTTCTCTTTTTATTGTTGTTGTTTTCATCATCATTATGTACCATGAGTTGGAAAACGTCACTGTTGTCGAGAGGTCTGCAACATATTTATGCACTTCTTAAGTAAATATTTTCTGTGATGGTGTGCTTTTACTGCTGTGGCTTACCTGAGACTTTCCTCTGCTTAGCTGTTTGGAAGTAACAAAAGGGATAGGAGAAAGCTGTGGAGAACATCTATCATTGCATGACTACCATTGCGTAAGAAGTCATTGCAGCAAGGCTAAAGACAAGGAATCACGGCAGGGGAAGGCCACTCTTACCTCTCATGAAGGAACTACCCAGAATCATTGTGAGGTTCACGGTTCTCACTGCTCTTTTTTGTTGTTGTTATGTGCCATCGAGTCGCTTGCAATGCATAGCGACCCTATGTACAATAACCCTAAATTCTGCTCTGTCCTGTGCCAATCACACTGTCTCTGACACTCCCATCCTGATTATCCCAGTCACTGAATCAATCCACCTCATAGAGGTCTTTCCCCTCCTGTGCTGTCCCTCCACTCTCCCAAGGATGACGTCCCTTTCCAAGGACCTGTCTCTCCTTACAACATGTCCAAAGTATGTCAGACGAAACCTCAGGGGCCTCCAAGGAACCACCTGGTTTAATCCTTTCCAGGACGATTCTGTTTGTTTGCCTAGCAGTCCATGGTATTCTCAATACTCTTCTCCAGCACCACAGCTCAAAGGCATCAATTCTCCTTCTATCCTCCTTGGTCATTGTCCAACTCTCTGATACATAACAAGTGATAGTGAAGACCATGGCCTGTATCAGACGCACCTTAGTTTCCAGAGAGACACCACTGCTCTTCAGTACTTTGGAGAGGTCCCTAACAGCAGACTTTCCCATCGCAATGCATCTTTTAATTTCATGGCTGCTGGTGCCTAGAGTGTTGACTGTGGAGCCAAGAAAACTAAAGCTGTGAACAATCTCAATCTCTTCACTATCCATCCTGATGCTGCCAATTGGTCAAGTGGTGAGAATCTTTGTCTTCTTGACATTGAGCCTCAATCCATATTGGGGGCTGCAGTTCTTGACCCTCTGCAGCAAGCGCTTCAGGTCTTCCTCCGTTTCAGTGAGCAGGGTGTGTCATCTGCATAACGTAGATTATTGATAGATCTTCCGCAAATTAGTTTTTTATTATTAATTTTAAGGTATGCTTACAGAGACTTTGGATTTCCATTCATTTATTGTTGCATTTTTCTCCCCCTGCCCACCATGTCCTTATTTCAGGTCTCCATTATTTTTTCTCTCTATCATGATATTGATTTCAATAAAACATAATGTACATGAATTAAAAAAAAACTCTTATAAAAGTAAAATTTTAGTGTGATTTTGAAAAAAAATTTATAAAGTATCTGTTGAGTCGACAATTACAGTCTTTTTTGGAGTTCTGTCATATTTATAAAATTCGGACCCTGATTCTTAGTACAATCTCGACTTGAAGGAAATAGAGTGAGAGTAGTGATATACCCAGGAGATATCACTGGTTCCATGTCCAAATGCCATAATGGACGAGTGTTTCTGGGGAGACACCAAAACTGGCTGTATAGTACACATGCCCTTTTTTACGTTCACCTTGTAAGTATAAAATATAAATTAAAAAAGAAGACTTCAAGTAAAATGTTGGCAACTGGGAACTTTACTATATTTACTATGAAAACTTTTCAATAGCATAAACAGTAGTTTCTGAAACCAATAAGTAACTTGAAATGAAATTCATTGAGAAATTTACAAATTTTTTTAAAAAGATTCTCTAGATACCATTGTAGAATCTATAGGATTCCATGTACACACAAGAAAAATACATAACCATTTTCTCAAAGTAAAGAAATCTCTAAGTGTTTTATATCATTACGTTTATATAGAAATAATGTGACACTGATATGTCACGTGTGACAATGGTTACCCATGGTGGACAGTGTTTGGTGGAGCTCCTTCCTGCTTGGAAGCAGGAGTGACATCCACTTCCGAAATAACTTGCCTCCAGAAACTCTATGAACTTGGAAAAAGGATGAAAGTTAGACAAGTGTTCAGGTCTTTCATTCATAGGGTCGCTATGAGTCATCTATGACTTGAAGGCACTTAACAACAACAACAATAGCTTTTATGTCGTTTATTTAAAAAAATTAACAATCTCCTCTCAGGTGATAAACTGCCTCTGAAAACCTGCCAGAGGGTCAGCTGTGGGTCAGTTCTGACTCTACAGTACCCAACAACAACATCATAAAAAAGTAATAGAAATTTTAAATAAAAATACAAGTGTTTCATTTTCTGTATGGATAAAAATGCAAAATTGAAATTAGATCCATACTTATGTAATTAAACATTGTAGTTGTAGATAGATAGTAACAAAATTTATATCTATTCTTACTGCAGAAACAGACATTTCAAATAAACATTTCACTCCTTTTAACTCAGCTTGTCCTCTTCTCTAGATTGTGTTGAAAATGCAGTACACATTTCTTTTTGTAGTATCTATATTTCTCTTTTTATTTTAAATAAAAAAAGAAGTCCTTTTCTATGTTTGTTACATTCAGTTTTGGAAAGAGAAAATCTATTAGAATAAAAAAATAAGCATGAAAAAGGCTCACTGCAAAGACAATGAAAATAAAATCAAACTGTTCATTGCTATATAATGTTTATTAAAGCACATTGCAATGCCATGCATTACAGAAGAGAGCTATTCCAAATGGTTTTGTGGGGGGTTTTGCCATAATATTCATAGAATCAGATTCAGCAGACATTTCTTCCATAGTACTGCTTATTGAGTTTCAACTGCCAACCTATAGGTTAATAATTGAGCAACACTTGAAGTCAACACGAAGTAGGATGGAGCAAAAGCCCTAGACTGAAGGCACAAGTGGTTTTAGGCATCCTTAAGGCAGAAAGACTTACCTACCTGTTCCACCTTCTGTTACTTTTTCCTCTCTATGAAACTGATCCAACATTAACAAGTGATGCATTCACGTGTTCACGTTGCCTGTTTTCCTGACAAAACTTGTTCTCATTTCCCAAGACAGAATTCTGTTAAATCCACAATAAGAAGATAATATTCTCTGTTGGATTTGTTTAGATCAATCCAAACGGTGAAGAAGGATTTGAAACATCCATTCACCGTCGGTCTTCTGACATCACTTTCTTGCTCCATAACTTCTTCATGGCATTTTTCACCTCTGCATTTCTCAGTGTGTAAATTAGTGGGTTAAGCAAAGGCGTTCCAATTGTATAAAAGAAAGCTATCATTTTATCCATAGGAAAGGTGGTCGCTGGGCGTGTGTATATAAATATGCACGGACCAAAGAACAAGATGACTACAATAATGTGAGAGACACAAGTGGAAAGGGCTTTTTTTCTCCCTTCAGCACTATGGTGTCTCAGAGAATGCAAAATTATAACATAGGAGATCATCAGCATGACAAAACTGATTGTACAAATGGCCCCACTATTGGACACTAGTAGTAGATTGACCACATAGGTGTCTGCGCAGGCGAGTTGCAACAAGGGCTGCAAGTCACAAAAATAGTGATCAATCACATTGGGACCACAGTAAGGTAAACTCAAGGCCAGAAAAATCTGAGCTAAAGAATGCACACAAGACCCCACCCAGGCTACAGCCACCAACACACTGCAGACCCTCTTGTTCATGATGGTCATGTAGTGCAGGGGTTTACAGATGGCCACATAGCGGTCAACAGCCATAAGGATCAGGATGAAGATTTCCAGGCAGCCAAAGAAATGAAATGAAAAGACTTGGATGATGCACTCACTGAAAGAGATAGTGCTATTCTTCAAAAGTGTATCCACAATCATTCTCGGGGCTATGGACGTAGAGAAGCAGGTGTCAGATAAGGATAAATAGAAAAGGAAGAAGTACATTGGACTCCCAAGAGCTTGGCTGGTCTTAATGGTGACAATAATCAGCAAGTTACCAAACAAAGTTCCTAAGTAGAAAAGTAGGAAAATGACAAATACTATTTTCTTTTTAACAGGATCCTGTGTCAATCCAAGCAGGATGAATTCAGTCACAGTATTATTCAGCAGCATGATTTCCCAAGTGACAAAAAAGGAGCACGGCTTTATCTGGAAAAGACAAAGTAATTTATTCTGCTAAGCACTATTGTAGAATAAGTTAAGGCCTTTTTTAAAATAAAATGACATTAGAGAATATTTTTAATGAAATTAAATATTCCTCATCAGGAACTTTCTGGGTTTTGTTTTGGTTTTTTTTCTTAGCAAGCCATTTCAGCTCTTTTGTTCAGTTTTTTTGTTCTTCAGTTTTTAATGATCACACACATACAATTATAATCTCGAATGAACTTGTGAAAGATTGTTTCCCAAGTCACTTTTCAAATACAAATCTTCTTTAACTTTGTTATTTTTTTATTTTATTCAGTTTATTTATTTGATGAATACAACATCTGTATATAGGTTTCCAATGTATTATTCCCTTCTTTTTTAAATATTTAATACACTTTGCATGCCAGGCTTTGCATGGTTACATTCAGCATTTAAGCTATATTTACCTTTCCTTTTGAATTTTACGTTATAAATAGAAAATATGCATTATGCCTATTCTCATAAAGAATGTCTTATTCATACATATACTTATGCATTATATATTAGTGATTCATAGTTACATAAAGTACTTACAAATATAATATAAACCAAAGCAAACAAACAAAAGAAGCCTTCTGTCATCAAATTGATTCCAAGTAATGGAAACTCCATATATGAGAATAGAACTTCTCTAGAGGAGTTTGTTGGTAGTAATTTTTTTTCAAACTGGGCTTTTAATTTTTGAGTGAAAGCTTACAAAGCATATTCATTTTTTTCAGTCAATCATTGATGAACAGTTTGTTTATAACATCAATTACAGTACAGATACACAATGTTTGATCATCCATTCATTCCACATTATCCTTCCCTTCACTTCTCTTAATTGGCTGTAATTTTTACAGAAAAAAGTCACCAGAGCTTTCTTACATGATAGTGCAGGGTGAGTTTAAATTACAACTTTCAGAGTTGTTGTTGTTGTTAATGTAATGTACATTCAAGTGGAAACCAACTCTTAGCTGACCCTCCAGCAGGTTTTTCAGATGTTATACATTGCACAGAAGGAGATTTCTCCTTTTTCTCCCAAAGAGCAGCTGGTAGATTTTGCCTTTGGGTTGGCAGCACAACTTACCACCAAGCCACCAGAGCTCTCCGCTGAACACAAACCTTGCACCATCCAGGGACCAACAAATACAAAATAGCACCTGTTTTTTTACTAAAGACTCTGCCAAATAGTCCATCTAGAAAAGGGGCAGCAAGAAACACGTATGTACCCACGTGGTATTGATTCCTACTCACAGCTACCCTAAAAACATTAAGGAATCTTCTTCCACCTCCAAACCTTAATGATATTTAATATTTGATATTAAGGTACTTGGTTGCTAGCCAACCATCAGCACATCAAGCCTAACAGTTACTCTGGGGCCGAAAGATGTGACAGTATGCTTCTATAAATACTTTCTGTTTAAGAAACCTGGGAGGACAGTTCTATGCTGTCATCATGAGTCTTTGCTAATATGATTCCACTGGACAGCAATGGGTTTGGGTATCTCAGATATTTGCATTTCTAGTTTTCTACTCCTAATTTCTGAGAAGCACCTGTTAGAATACTCCAAGTCATTGAGGCTACACTTCCAAATTCAAAGGTGGAGATGATGATGTAATAGTTAGATTCATAATTGAAAGTTTAAGCATTTTAGATCTGAGTCAGTAGGAGTAGGACTAGGCACCAGACACAGTTGCTGTAGGATTAGAAAACAACGGTAATCTCCATAGACTTTATGGTTTTCAGGGTCTGTAAAAACCTCATGACTGATTGGAAGAGAGCAGAACAGAGAAAGCAGTGAAAAGAAGGAAAATGGGTAACCAACAACTAACTTCTTTATTCAGTTTGATCTTTATCCTGCTAGAGTGACTATTGAATGACTCTTCAAATTTGAAAATATATCTTTTAATTAATATTTCTATTTATAAATTTTGACAAATAAACAAGGGCTTAACTTCTGAGAAAAAGCCTTTTTGGTTTGTTTGATTTTCTCTCTTTTTCATCAGTATGGAAGGGACACCATATGCATGTAAGAATACACATTGACTTCAAGGATATGAACATGTATGGCCAAGCACAATCAATAAGAGTGCATCTAAATTCCAAAATCAATCTCCATAATAGTCTATGTGTTTCCTACTGCCAAAGGGGCCCTTTAGAGTAGTGAGAGAAGATCTTCACCCTGAAACCCACAGCGTCCCTTTTCAGCAGGAAGTAGCTAAGAGAATACGCCATCCCCTTTTCCTTATGACTCAGGGTGAAGTCTCTCTCAGGGAGGAGTGATAGGGAATGGCAAAGGACACACTGACAAAGAAGATTAATCAGAACTGGCTTTGACAAGCACTGTGGCATTTGGACAAGAACAAACTGGAAGGAGGGTAGAGAGAATGGTGCAGCGGTGAATGAATGGAAACCCAAAATCTCTGTAAATGGTTATGAAAATTAATAAAATATAATTATAGAAAAAAGGGAAATGTTTGGCACTAAAAAAATAAAAAAAATTAAAAAAAAGAATACACATTGAAATGTGTTTAAATATGATATAGCCCCATCTCATTGTCATCAAGTTGATTTTTACTTATAATGGCACCTAAAGACAAAGTAGACCTGCCCCAGGGTTATCTAGGCTGTCATTGGCCCAGCAATTGACATACATTGACACAGTGACTGCAGCAATGAACTTGAACATGATGGAGATCATGAAGATGGTGCAGAATAGGTCATGGCTTTGACACATTATTTAGAGGATTGCTATGAGTTGGAGTTGACTTGACAGCACCTAACAACAAACTGCTCCTAACAACAAAATGCTGCAGACCAAATACATCATACGATGGAGGTACTCAGCAATTGCTTTCAAACAGAACATTCTTTACCTGCTAAAGCATACTAATAATTATCTGGTAATAAATATTTTTATGTCTGATATAGCAAACTGAACTGCTAACTCTATCTCTGAGTTTTATTAAATAAGTAGGAAAATTATTGAATTACAAAGGTAGACAATATGTCAAGAAGAAGGAAGTTAGATAAGGAAAAGTATTGAGTAAAAGAGGTTTTTATTAAAAGTACTTTATAAACTGTCTTCCCACATGAGAGCCATACTATATTTCACTCTATAAAGCTTTTAACTTCCTTATCATCATGTTTGTATTTAAGTTCCTCTGAGAAGTTGTTATTCAAAATAATTCTGAAAGAAAGTCAACTGCAAAGTATATTCCTTTCATTTCATTTTGAAAATTTGCAAGGGTAATGATTCTATACTACGATTCACAATGTTCTACTTAACATGTTTGCTACTATTACTCTTGGTTGTCGAACTGTAACCAACTCTTGTCTGATGCTTTATCAGGTTTTCAGAGGCAGTAAATCACACACGAGGAGACTGCCCATCTTCCTCTTGCAAAGGAGTTAGTGGATTCAAACCACCTATCTTTGGGTTGGTAGTGTAATTCCTTATAACCAACCTAATAGGGCTCCCTATGTGTGTGTGTGTGTGTGTGTGTGTGTGTTAGGAAATGAAAAATCTGGTATCTTCCAGAAATGATGTCCACTTCACCACCTCCGTTAATCTTATATCTTACTTCTAAAAAAAGTAATGTCATTGATAAGAGAAGACATAACATCTTCTAATTTTCTAACATTTTTAACTCTTAGAATTATTTATTTTTTTTATTTTTTATTGAATTATTTATTTTTTATCTTACAACAAAAACATTGTGAACTTTTCTACTTTCTGCCATCTCAAGAAATGATAGACATGGACTCCTTCTTTCCCCACATAACGGTGAGGTTTTTCACATATGAGATTCTCATAAAATTCTGTTTTGTTGAATTGTTGGAAAAAAATGATTTTTTCAAAACTTGTACTTTATTATATCCCCCCCATATTAACAGTAAACTTCTTGTTCATCGATTTGTTAATTTTTTTTTCTCTTCTTTACTCAGATTGTGGGATTGGTATAGTCACAAAACATATGTAAGTATATTAGATAATTGTGTTAGCTTATTTTGCAATGAGGTCTCTCTGATCGGATAAAGATGGAAATAGCGTATTACTTACCTGCTGAAGACTGTCTAAGTTACTACCAAGTCAGTATATGTCTTTTTGAAAGAAATGTTCTCCCACACCCAGAGAAAAAAAAAATTAAAATAATTCCTCTCTGCATTCCAGAGGGAATACTTTAAGGCATAATGACGCAAGGTATTATCATTACAAAGAGTATTATTCCCTAAAGTTTTCTTCCTGTGCTAGTCAGAAGCATCCCAGGTGTTATATAAACTTTACTTTTCTTTTGTCTTCTTGGCCGATAAGAATAGCAAGTCATGGCTATGTGATGTCATCTAGTTGATCCTAACTCATAGAGACCCTTTAGGATGAATCTAACTGCCCTCATATGATTTCCTAAACGATTATCATTATGGGACAGAGAGCACTAGGTTTTTATCCCATAGAGAAACAGATTAGGTTTAACCAACAACCTTTTTGGTTAGCAACTCAACTCTTACCTTGCCATGAATTAAATTAATCCTCCTCATACTCGGAAAGTAGAACACAACAAAGGGTTGGGGCATTAGGTGTCTAAGGCAGGTCTCACATACCAAAGAATAAAAGAGGGGGAATGATGAACCATGATTAAAAGTGCATAGATAATAGGCAGAAGGGAAAAAAAAGAAATGTCATTGATAAGAGAAACAGATCACATAAAGAGGGTTGCAGAGCCAGCCAGTATTCTAAATTGACCCTCCTTTGCTCAGGAGGCTCGGTCACTCACTGACATCAAGTTAGAATTGATCAGTACCTATTTTTCAGAAGCTGTAAATTACATTTTTCAAAGAGGATAATTGTAATATCCTGAAGCCACAGATTATACCCTGTGATCTATGAACATCCATCAATAAGATACCACACATTCATATCAAGAAGTCTAAGTCCATATAAATA